GCCAACATGGGCTTTTGAAGTCAGAAACAGCAGTCAAGTGAGAAGAGTCGATTATGTATGATTTTGTGCAACGTCAACTGATTCAAAGGCCAAATGGCGCGAGTTGTGAAAGGTCCTTTACAGGGTCGGCCAGATCCCCTCGTCTCGGGAGCGGCTGCTTAGCACGGCTCAAAGACTGAGGAAGAAAATCAGAGTGAACGCCAGCAGCACGCGCGCGCAGCCAGCAGCCGAAGTCGCCAAAGCAGCAGAAGTAGAAGTGTCAGGAGTGCCAGCAGCCAAAGTTGTCGAAGCAGCAGAAGTTGAAGTCTCGGCAGTTGTATCAGAGCCTGCCAGGGCAGGAGTGGTGCCGGTGGCACTTGTGGCACTGGGGGTTGTGCTAGGTTTGCTTGAACTAGGTGTTGTGCTCGCGCCAGGAGTGCTTGAGCTGAGTGTGCTGCCAGTGGAGCTAGTTACTGCAGTCGTGCTAGCCATCGAAGTGCCGGTGTCACCGGCGTCACCGGCGGCCGTGCCTGCACCTGAGCCATTCCAAACACTGCCATCGCGCGTGATGGTCTCCACATGAAGCCGTCCCTGCGAGTCATAGGGCCCACTGATCTCCACCTTCACATTAGTGCCCCAGTACTCCTGTGTGCCGAGCCAGGTGATCACGTCCGCATTGCCACGTTCGCTCAAGAGCACCTCCATGGAGTACTGGCTCTGTCCGCTGGGCTTCGTCAAGAGGCCGTAGCCGGAGTTGCGGCAAATGGACACCAACAAGCAGTGCACAGTGTGACGTTGCGGTTCGGTCCGAGTGTCCACGCCATCAATGCCGACCCCCCGGTCCACGCAAAGCTTGTCGTAGAGGAAGCCACTGTGCACTGCTGCGGAAGCCAGCGAGCTTCCAAGCAACAGCGCAAGGGCAGCACGGGCCATGGCTGACATACTTCCTAAACCTCACAGGGATTCTGCCGAGGCTTGGGTCCCCCCGCAATTCGTCTTTGGAAAAAAGAATGCAGCTCATCTTTCTAGCCATTTACATGTAACACTCGTTCGATTTGTGATGTTTTCTCTTAGTTGCTTGGTTTTGGGTTGCTCGGTCAGTTGTTTGGCTGGTTAGTTGGCTGTTTTGTTGTTTTTGCTTTCAACTTGAAGGATTTAAAGGGGGTACCAACTACTTGGGCAATCCCGGTCGACTGCAGGTGTGCCGTATATATAGACATGAGCCGAAAGAGAGAAGACGCGTCCAGGACAAGAGAGACCGTGACAGGTGACGAACGTGAATGCACGGTGTGTTTCTGAACGGTCATAAGCAAGCAGTCTTGAAACTATACAGTCAAGTCATGTCACGTCATAGTGCCTTTTGTGCAATGGCAACGATATGCAACGATGGTATGGGTTTGGGGCGACCTCGGGCCAAAAACTTAATTAGAGCATCTTAGACCACCCAACCCCCAAAAGAGTCAGCCGCCTCAAACATAGCCGGTGCGAAGCGCCAGCTCTTCGCCAACCACAGCGATGAGCATGGCACGGCTGGCGCTTCAAAACTGATGGAGCTTTTGCGAACAAGGACGTAAAAAGCATACAAACAATGACACATTGTAGAATATCTTGCATACAATATAAACATGGTATCGCAACTTTCACTTAGTAATAGCAACATTGACTGAATAAATATTCCAATTCATGTATCAACAACGAAACAGGCTCCTGCGTCATTCACAGCGCTCCGTGATAAAGTTTCTTGAGTGTCAAAACTTAGATTTCATCGGTTCCAATCATGGAAACTTGACTGTTCTGGTTGGTGTGCTTTGATTCGTTGATTCCATCCCCCAAGATGGAAGATCATGATCCCTGCTGTAGCCTGGGTCAATTCACAGGATGTGGAGTGATGAATTCCGGGCACACATGTGTCGCATCTAGTCTAGTGCTGAATTTTGTTGAAGTGCTGTTTAGCAGGGTAGCATCACTGATTGATCTTTCCGATCGGAGTAGCTGTGCTGATCTAGATCAATCATTCCTGGTTTGACATTTGCACAGCCAAAGCCCGTCATCAGGCAGTGAAGCATGCAGGATCTGCACGCCTCAAGTGTCTGCTTCTTCCATCCATGCTTCCCACATAAAAAATGTCCAGGCTTCCCGTGTCTGAGGACTGGCAGATCTATCAATGATGCCGGGTCAATCAAAAACAAAGACGAATCTCCAACACACCCGCACACGAATATTCCCTAGGGCTCCAGTTGTACCTCCTCAGGAGGTATTCGGACCATCTAAACCCACCCCAGTCCCACCTTCTTAGAAGGTTACTTGGAGCCCTAGGGATCCCAACCGCGGTGTTGATTCCATGTGTCACGCCCGAAGTTGCCACGCCTCCCGCACGCGGGTTCGGCCAAGGAATGGACGGTTGAGCCGGTTGAGCCATCTCACTGCGTTCTTCGGCGGGCCAGTCCTCCAAACAGTCTCACAATCAGTTCCTTTAGCCGCCAGCCGGTGAGTGGTCCCTGAGTTCGTCCACACTGGAACCCACATGAGAAATAGTAACTCAGCAACTTGCTTCCTCTTCACGTTGCGGATTCTTTGTATCATTCACAAACACGCCATGTGTTTTAGACTATTTACATCTGCTATTTACCCGTGGTGTGGTTTCAGCAGTCGGGTACGTTTCAAACACTCCATGTCTTCCTACATCACCTGACCGGTATGCGGTAACTATAGATTTAATTAGTGGCCTTGCAGTTGTCACACACCCCTCCAAACCAAGTCGGCAGCCAGGATCTCAGAGTACACCAACTCAGGTGGTCCAAGTCTTTAGTATCATTAAACGGCGTGCCCTACGAATCCTGGGTCGGACTCTCCATAGAAGGGGTACAAACCCTCAACCCCCATTCCATTTGACGGATTCTTAGGGTGCAACAAAACACGTCATTTGAAGGTCCGGTTCGTAGGATGATTTCAATGCACACGGCGAGCATTCTCCCCATTTTGAAGCACTCCCTGGCTCTGCGGTTCATTCGGCCAAAAAGCCGCGTCGAAACGTCACGCCCGCGGCCAATAGGGCCGGGCAGTCGCGGCGTGGATCACGGGAAACTGGGGGAGGGGGTTGTCAAAGGGGATTAACATAATCATGATTATGACAATTTATTATGTTTATAATACCTATTATGTTATTATTATGGTTATTGTGGTTATTATATGTCATGTTTAATACCTTTCATCAAATATCGAACCATATCGAACCAGTTCCTGGACAAACATCACCCGTTGATTTCTTGGACCTTTCTTCTTGGAGTACAATCACCGAATTGTGAAAAATGATAAACGGTGTCCTGCTCCAAATTGCATTGCCCTAGAATCTAGAATGTCCTGGACCTTCTGGGCGCTGAAGGAAACAACCGAATGCTTCGTCAAGTGGATGATGTTGGCCAGCACCTGCCTATCTGTAGCGAGTTGACTGGGACTAAAACTTGTTCCATGGATCACCCAGGAGGCTGGCCACTGACCCGTCATCTAGAATTCCGGACTCACTCCCCGTCTTTTAAACATCAGCCTGGAGTAAACTCTCCAGACTTGTCATGATAAAGAAAAATCCAGAACCTGGAAAATCCTGGGAGCCAGTTCGCCCTGATGATACCGCCCTGTTGACACACCTGAGAATCGATTGATTCTCTGTTGCAAGGGGCGGGGGGAGGGGCTACGACGACTGGCCCAGTGCCCAGGACACGACTTGCCTCGAGTCCTCCGGTCCGAACAACGACGACGACCGGACTTTGTCGCTCATCCGCGGCTCGAACTCGGCCTTCCGGGTGGGAAAAGCCCGGGAAGATATGGTACAACTGAGCAGTGTCAAATCGAGTGACCTGAGAACTCGTCTTGTGAAAACATTAGGTTGTACGATGTTGTACGAGGTTCGGAAGGTCTTCCAACATCCAGTCAGAATCTATCATTTCGTGCCCAAAGGCTCACCTGTTGATGGAAAACATCCCCCACCACCTCCTGTACTCAACACATGCGCCGTGTCTGACTGCTCTTGTCTGCATCTGACAGCTCTTCATGTCCGACGCGTTCTCACCGGCGCCAAGGGGCTGAGCCGGGGCGAACCTGCCATGGCCAGGGAGCGGTAATTTCTGAGGGTGGTCTTAGTGGTCGGACCGAAATGGACTGTTTTTTTCTTCGATTGGTCCGTCACTTGGGGGAAGAGTAAGCAGATAGATATAGTCGATGACTATAGACATCCACAGACTATATCCAAGCTTGACAGAAGTGAGGGACCCTACAGAAAACAGTCACAAACAATCTTCAACATCTTTCAGACTTGGAAGATCATCTGCCAACTGCCAGGTGATTGATTAATTATGTTAATTAGGTTTGTTGGAAGCTGGTGCTCTGACACAGGCTTTGCGGGTTGGGGTTTTGTAATTACAGTTCCCGATCTCTTCCGAAGTACTCCACGTGAAGAACAGGTTTCCGAAGACCGGAGAGGGCTCTCTCTCTCTCTCTCTTTCTAATCAGGTCGTTCAATTTGAGTCCTGGGAGTAGATGTGAGTAGTTTGATGTGTATACTGTAGTACATTAAGACTTGTCCTTGTGCCCAAAGCTGGGAAATAACATATCCCTGTCTAGCTAGGTCCAACATGGCAAATCGAGACTCTGCCAAGCCACATGGTCCATTCATTGACCCAATGACCATTATTGAACTCAACCGCAAACAATCCCGGCACACGTCGGCTGCCATTTCTCCAACAGCCGGTCCCTCGCATGTAGGGGAGCCCTTTCAGCTGCACTAGCGAAGTCTACAGTCACTCCGAAGTCAACTGAGGCCACAGATCTTCTCCATATTCCCATTCATCTTTACTCCTTCGCGCTTGGGCTTCTGAACAAGATCGACGGACATTTACATGCTCATGGCCTTGCTCCAGCAGCATGTGGCATGTGGCACGACAGTATTCCACAACATCGCTCGGATGGCATTGGTGCTTTTACTGGTTTCCTCAACCCCTAGGACCCCAAACTTACCCCCCCCCGAAAACCAACACGGACCCCGTGTTAAAAGCCTCCTGGGAGATGTGGTATTCCTCTAGCTACACCCGTGGCATCCCGTGGTTTTCAGAGTCCATGTTTCTCGTCCAACCAGTGGGACTTTTGCTCCGATCCCGTCCCATCACCATGCTCCGAAGCCGAGCTCGCTCTGCGCAGCGCAGGACCGTTCACCATCTCCAGTGAGCTCGGATCAGAAATGGCCCGCCGCGGCTTCCAGATCAAAGGGGCACTGGCTAAAGTGCCCGATCCTCGAATGGAGGAGAGGACGGATGTACCGTTGCTCCATATACGATTGGGGGGTCCAACGCTGACCCAAGGAGGGGCCTTTTCTTAAAAGAAGAACAAGGACGGTCAGACCCATTGAGGTCGAAAATGGCAATCTATATACTTACTTTGTGTGTCTACAGCGGGAAGTAATAGGCCTCAATAGGCCAACGACAAACGCCCAGGATTCCCAGACCACCCTCATGAGGTAGACTCTCATGAGGGTCCTATATCAGAACTGGCTACAGTAGATCGGACCACCCTCCAATAGATCAAGAACCCCCCAATATCCAACCAAACACGCAAACCTACAACTACCCACCATAATTAGAGAGATGGCCCACGCCAACTGATATAATATATGTATATGAATATATGGGAGTGTTTTTTTAAACTTAGTCGGGCCGGGAAGTTTGAATAGGTGGTATGATTCGGGGGTTTGATTCGAGGGTATGAGTCGCAGATGATTCGCAGCATTAGTTGGACTTCGCGGGCCCGGTCCTTTGGCTCTTCTTCCCAAGGGGGAGCACATGGGAATATATGAGTACCCCGGGGATGTGAGAGTTTGCTCTTCCCACAAGAAGACAAACAGTTTTGGCCATGCACCATTGGTTCATGGACATCTACAAGGCACCAAGACCAACCAAAAGCTTCACCTCAACACCGAGTTCTTACATCTACTTTTTCAGGGGTATGATTCGAGGGTAATTATGAATCGCTCAGGTCGAACTTCCAACCACTACATCAGGAAGTACACGACAAAAAAATACAAACCCACATTTATTAGATATAAGTAACAGTACAGGCCTGGACTTTGATTTGCTTCACCCAGCTTGCACTTCCAAAACCAACCGTGAAGGAATGAACAAACATGTCGTTTCAACGCCTTCATGCCATCTCATGTTCATGCACCTGTACAGCTGCCAACCCCCACCCTGCCCGCTTTCACCGGGCCCGGTTCTTTTTCACAGTTCCGGTGTCGAGGCGGTGCCATTCTCGTGTCGGAGGCAGGCCCGGGCAAAAAGATAAGCGGTGTCATGTGCTGCATGGCGAATGCTCAGCAAACACTTCCTGGGCCGCGCGCGTGGCGACGAGGGGCCGCGCGGCCGCTGAGACGCTGAGGAGCGTTTTGCGTTGGTTTGCCTGGCGACCAACTTCCGTGGACCGTCGGGGTGAAGATGAATATGATTGAACATGTCAAACCCTTCTGGGAGCCCCACTGCCCTTGGGGTAAAATGGGCGACCTTTTCCCGAATGCGTAGCGAAGGGTTCTCGTTTAACTCTGAGCCTTGTTCGCGACCCGTTGTTTCTATGATCGCCACCGTTCGCAACCGTCCGCAACCGTTCGCAGGTGTTCGCAGTAGAGCGCTAAGGCGCTGCCATTGGGGGAAGCTTTTGCAAGTGACTTTTCATGGATGTGTCACGTGTCAGTTTGCGACGCTATTCCATTGTGATTTGCATGAAAATGACATGTCGCGCAAGAAGCGTGATGCATGTCGTTGCACAGGCGCAGCGTTTTAATGAGATCCGCAGTTTGCCACGCAGTTCCATTGGGATTAGCGTTTGGAGAGTCGTGTTCTTGGGGTGTTGGATGTGGCCGTGCCATTGGGATTTGCGTTTCAGGGTGTGGCATCGAAGCTCTATTTTCGCGACCCTTCTCAGCTGAAATGCCGATTTTGGTGGATGGGAGTGTGCTCAGAACGGGTCGAAATCATTCCAAACGTGTGGTGTGGTGAAGCTCACATGAGATGATATTGTCACTTTTCGTGGCAGGCGCAGTACTTTGTGCGGCTTTTGAGGTGTGGAAGTGCGATTCTCGTGGCAGGCACAGGGAATCGTGAGGTTGCGAGGTGTGACGGAGGTGACATTTCGTGGCAGGCGCAGTACTTTGTGCGCGTTAGACGTGTGGATGCGGAAAGATTCGTGGCAGGCGCAGGGAATTGTGAGGTTGTGAGTTGTGGTATAGAGGTGAATGTCGCTGTCACAGTGGGATTGGCGTGTGAGTTGTTTGGAGGGGCTGGACTCGCGAAACTGCTTGGCAGGGCTGCGTGATGTGTGTGCTCCGATGGGTGTTTCCGCTTGACTTTTGGAGGAAGTCTCGTACGAAATGCTCGTTTTGCAGACTTTGACATGTGAGTTTTGGAGGAAGTCTCGTACGAAGAGTGCCCTACAAGAGTGTCCCACAAGAGTACCCTACAAGAGTGTCCTACAAGAGTGTCCCACAAGAGTTTCGTACAAGAGTGTCCCACAAGAGTGTCCCTTAAGAGTGTCCCGCAAGAGTGTCCTATAAGAGTGTCCCACAAGAGTGTCCTACAAGAGTGTCCCACAAGAGCGTCCTACAGGAGTGTCCCGCAAGAGTGTCCTACAAGAGTGTCCCACAAGAGTGTCCTACAAGAGTATCCCACAAGAGTTTCCTACAAGAGTGTCCCGCAAGAGTGTCCCACAAGAGTGTCCCACAAGAGCGTCCTACAAGAGTGTCCCACAAGAGTGTCCCGTATGAGTGTCCCACATGAGTGCCCCACACGAGTGTCTCATAAGTGTGTCCCACAAGAGTGTCCGACAAGAGTGTCCCATAAGAGTGACCCACAAGAGCGTCCTACAAGAGTGTCCCACAGGAGTGTCCCACAAGAGTGTCCTACAAGAGTGTCCCACAAGAGTGTCCTACAAGAGTATCCGACAAGAGTTTCGTACAAGAGTGTCCTACAAGAGTGTCCCACAAGAGTGTCCCGTATGAGTGTCCCACAAGAGCGTCCCACAAGAGTGTCCCGCAACCGTGCCCCACAACAGTGTCTGACAAGAGTGTCCCTTAAGAGTGTCCCACAAGAGTGTCCCACAACAGTGTCCCACAACAGTGTCCCACAAGAGTGTCCTACAACAGTGTCCCACAAGAGTTTCCTACAAGAATGTCCCACAAGAGTGTCCCACAAGAGTATCCCACAACAGTGTCCTACAAGAGTGTCCCACAAGAGAGTCCTACAAGAGTGTCACGTAAGAGTGTCCCACAAGAGTGTCCCGCAACAGTGTCCCACAAGAGTGTCTCACAAGAGTGTCCCGTAAGAGTGTCCCACAAGAGTGTCCTATAAGAGTGTCCCACAAGAGTGTCCTACAGGAGTGTCCCACAAGAGTGTCCTACAAGAGTGTCCCACAAGAGTGTCCTACAAGAGTATCCGACAAGAGTTTCGTACAAGAGTGTCCCGCAACCGTGTCCCACAAGAGTGTCCTACAGAGTGTCCCACAAAAGTGTCCCAAATGAGTGTCCCACAAGAGTGTCCCACAAGAGTGTCTCACAAGCGTGTCCCACAAGAGTGTCCTACAAGAGCGTGCTACAAGAGTGTCCCGTAAGAGTGTCCCACACGAGTGTCCTACAAGAGTGTCCCACAAGTGCGTCCTACAAGAGTGTCACGTAAGAGTGTCCCACAAGAGTGTCCCACAAGAGTGTCCCGCAACAGTGTCCCACAAGAGTGTCTCACAAGAGTGTCCCTTAAGAGTGTCCCACATGAGTGTCCTATAAGAGTGTCCCACAAGAGTGTCCTACAAGAGTGCCCCACAAGTGTTTCCTACAAGAGTGTCCCACAAGAGTGTCCCACAAGAGTGTCATTTGTAGCTTTTCGATCGTGTCTGCATTCGGGTTCGTGGGCTCCATCTTGTTTTTTTTTCCTTTTTCTCCCAACGCGTCGTTTTGGGAATCTGTTTCCGCACTGTTTGTGGTCAGGGGTTGCCACAAAGAGAAAAAGAAAGAGAACTAGCACAGGAGGCAAGGGACAGAAGAGTAGGAGGAGAAGGAGAAAAAGGAAAAGGAGGAAAAGAGGGAAGAAGAGAAGGAGAAGGAGAAAGAGAAGGAAACAAAGGAGAGAGGAGAAGGAACAAGAGAAGGAGAAGGCTCTTCCCGCTGCACTCTTGCAAATCACAATACAGTATACACCAGCCATGTGAGAATGGTAGCGCTTACTGGTAAGTCTGAAATATATAAATTTATGTCCATGCATGTATATGTACATCTATGTACGTGTATGTATGTAAGTTTGTCTGTCTGGTCTGGTCTGGTCTGGCTTGGTCTGGTCTGGCTTGGTCTGGTCTGGTCTGTCTGGTCTGTATGTATGTATTTATGTATGTAAGTATGTATGTATGTATGTATGTATGTATGTTTTCGTGGCTGTCGTGATGCGCTATAGCAATACCATCAATAAAAGGGGGTGCGGGGGAGGGTGCAGCGCCTCCCCCGCAAGGAAAACAACGTATATTGAGCATCCCCGCGCTGAAAAACCAATCACCAAGAGTTGTTTGTGTCCAGGTCCTTTTTTCTTTTGAGGGTCAAATGCTTTGCAGGCCAGTCGCTTGCAAACTGGCTTGCTGGTTTTGTTTTGAGTGACCTGCTGAAATTTAAAAAAGCGGGGAGGGCGCAGCGCCTCCCCCACAAAAAACAAAGTATAGTGAGCATCCCGGCACTGATACATTGCTCCTTCCTCCCTTCCTCCCTTCCTCGCTTGCTTGCTTCTTGCTTCCTTGCTTCCTTGCTTCCTTGCTGCCTTGCTTCCTTGCTTCCTTGCTTCCTTGCTTCCTTCCTTCCTTCCTTCCTTCCTCGGCAACAGAACCTGCAAAAAATCCCAAAAGCCGTTGGAAAACATATCAAAAAAAGGGTTCCTGGTAAAATGTAACGTGATGGGTGTTACTTGATTGATTGATGGATTGATTCATCGATTGGCTGACTGATTGATTGATTTATTGTCCAGGCATGTCCCACATTCCTACCAGTACAAGAATGCTTCTTACAATCCCTGACAAACACTAGGACAAGGCTCTTTTTCCCAAAGGCCATAAGATCATAAGGTCAAAAAGTTCTCCTGGATGAACCAAGCCTACTGACCCGGGTTCTCCCACGGGGGAGAACCTCTGGGCTCAAGCGGCCTCAAACGCTGCTTCTGCCCAACGAAGACCGGAACGGCAGGCTATGACAGTCAAGTGTTTCTGATTTCCTTACCAATCAACAATGACCCACCCTAAGATTCAGGATTCATCTTAACATACAAAGTCATGAACCATCAGGACTCATAAGACTCAGATTCCACACGCTTCAGCCTTACCCACTCCCCCGGACTTCCTCATGGCCGTGCTCGCGACAGGCCGAGCGTCATGTAATGATGCCGGGCGAACTCTTTGGGAGTGATCGCCTGCGGTCGGCGATCCTCCGGGCGGCAAAAAACAGATGAGATCCAACGAAGGCCTGGTGTCCACTCCCCAGGCCAGGTATTGTAAACCAAGCTGCCGATGGGGGGAGCCCCTCATGTATCAACATCAATTTTTGCGACATGTTCCCGCTACCAAACTCCGGTGGGCCTTGCAGTCGGAGGGGCTCACATACTCGGCCTTCTCCGTGACGTATGACACGCTACTCATTGGGAAAGGCAAAGCCTCAAACCGGCGGGGAAAACCGGAAAAAGTGCACGCTGTTCGTCGCGTCCATTTGTCTTTATGTGTTTTTTTGGTGCCCGGGCCGTTCATGGGAGCCGTTCGTTTGCAGACCCTCCTCCTATGCAACTTCGGCAATTCCCCTCAGTCCGTTGAGACAACGACCGTATACCGTCAACGCCACCCGAGTGACCGTACACCGTAAATGCCAGTGCCAGGGCCGTGCCAGTGCCAGCTCCATCAACACTTGGCGGGCCCCCAACTCCAAGATCTTGGTCAAAACATGGGCATTTTGAGGCACCACATGTCGTGATGTCGGACACCCCAACTGTACTGAATGAGGAAACCCATGCAAAACCCTTATCAACCCCCGAAATCACCGGTCTTCGTTTCGACCAGCATCCAATCCCCCTGCACAGTGGGACATGGCCAAGATCGGCATATTCATGTCCTTGGTTTCCAACATCGATTCGTTTGCGAGATCGAAGTTCGGAGGGGGTCGTTGGTGGTGCGAATTGAGAAGGTCTGAAAAGCTAGAGTTGGTGGTGCTAGTACATACTATTAATCAATTACGCACAGTCATTGGGGAATTGATGCCAAGAAACCAGTGATTTCTTGGTCATCTCTTCAAGTTCATATCAGGGATTGCGGATGATCGGGATTCACATATGGTATCATATGGTCACTTTCCGGTGTCTTCCTGAAATTGGCAATCTAAACATATTATACATAAGACATAATGCATGTAATCAATGATATATATATATAACTTGTTTTTTCGATATACATATCACATATCAACTTAAAAAAATATTATATATTTTTTGTTTCTTTTTTAGCGAAAAAAACACCGAGCAACATGCATGGATCTACACAAGGCAAAACAACGAAAAAAAACATCCCTTCCCAGTATCTTACATGGTTGCGACCCCCAAAAAGCAAACATCAACCCCCCAAAAAGAATGCTACATCGTTCAGCAAGTAAAGCCGTACAGGCTTGGAGTGATGAAAGCATCAAGCAAAGTATCAAGGATATCCTCCAAGACCAACTCATCCTTCGTGAACTGATACGTGTCTTGGATCTCCTGGACGGTTTCCGGCTGTGCGGCATGCTGCGTTTCGCTCTCTTCGAGCGAGGGTTCACATGGGGAAAGCGCGAGCCAGCGCCAGCCCAAAAGCCCAAAAATTCAACGACAAGTCATGTCCTAGGTTGGTGGGACACAACACTGGAAGAAAACATCGCAGCTATCAAAGCCTTTTGTCCTCTTTTTCACGCCATCATGGTCCACGGGAACACGACAGGATTTCCAATACACAAAATGACCATGGAATGCATGGAATGTTGATTGATACTGCACATATGCCTTGGTGCCTCAAAACGTTTCCCCATCCTTCTTCTAAGAGACTGCTGCTCGCATGTGTGCTGATGGGCGAATGATGACTTTCTGTGCAGGGATGACACCACAATTCCATGGTGATCTAATGATGTTGGTGTGCTTGGTGACTTGGCGTACTGCTCCGTGAAATCCGAAAAAATGGAGGCCATTAAATCCGATGATCAAACAAATGGTATTCCGTCCATGATGATTTTGGGGCGTGCCAGTTCAAACTTGGATTGGTGAATGCTTTGGCCTGCAAAAACTCATGTGTTTTCTGGCGGACTTTTAACATACCAAAAACACATGTCAGACTGATAGCGCACGCAGACTGATGGGGAGGTGGATTCTTGGGAGTTGCCCTTCAGGAGCTGCGCGTGGCGACCTGGGACTGAAGGACCGTCTCGCGTCGGGACCTGGTTCGCCAAGCCATGGAACGACGGCCACCAGGCCATAAGGCTTGTGTGATACCAAGGAGTCGATTGACCATAGGGGTGTGGACTTAGTGGTTCCATTCCAACCCTCTCAACGCATTCAGCAGTCCTTGCAATTCTCTCTGGTCAGTTCTTCCCAAACTGCAGGATTTCCTTGGAAAAGGGGCAGCACAACCTCGACCGCGAAGAGACTTCTAGGGCTCAAGTTTGCGGAGCGAATCCGATCTTGCACAGGAAGTTGGCCGAACAAGCAGTTAAAACGTTAAAACATATTTTTTGAAGAAAGCACGCGTTGGCATAGGCTTCATGATAAACATCAGCAGCAAAAAGTGGGCACCACACAGCAACAGGACCATGATGACGGCAAGCTACAGCAAAATACAGCAGGCACCCAAATGAAACTCATGCACCCGCCAACCCAATGCCAACGCCACACCGAACCACCATAACCAGAACAACACCGCCACTTGAAAAGTGCTTGTTGGCGATTAAGGATGATCCCAGGCAACACTGCCACCTGAAAAGTGTTTGGCGGTGATAAGGATGATCCCAGACAAAGGTTGAACATCACATATTGGGTCCTCCAAAAAGATGTATAAGACAGGTCGTGTGAAACATGCATTTCTTGTTGAACAAATAGCTGACTCTCTGGTCATGAGATTTAATAGATTATAGCTATATATGCAATCTTAAGTGCAGGGTCGCTTCATATAAACTTCGACTCACTCATATGAATGTAGAAAATTGAAACTGATAAGACCCTTTTCCTCTCCAAACGGGTTCCACGTTCGTGAGTTTGAGCTCACTCAATCCCAACAAATCACCGACAGCCCCCCACGCACCCAAGCTTCGCAGCTGTTCGAGCGTTCGTCCTTGTCCCTGGAGAACACCTAAGGAGTAGCCATAGATGTCATCATAAATGTAGTGTTCCTCAGAAGCTGGATCAAAACAACAGCCCACCGGGTTTTGTATATTATCACATAATCGTCTAATTTACACACTATATACTATACTGTACAAACCTACACTATATATATACTTTGCATACTGTACAGCAGCCCATTGGGCTTTTGCATTGGGTATACCCCATGACCAGGCCCAGTGGATGATGATGGTTCAGCTGAAGACCCAAGGCTCTAAAACGGTGACATTTGTTGACCGGCTGTTACTGGTAGTGGGACAAGCCCAATATAAATATATATATATATATGTTGGGTATTTCCTATTATATACCTGTAACTATACCTGTAACAGTGGATGATGATGGTTAGTAAAGGCCTTGTCCAAAAATAGTTATAATTGTTTACTGCCTGTTACAGGTAATGGGGCAAACCCCAAATATATATATATATATACATACAACTGTATATCAAATTATATCAAACTATACCCTAAGGGTCCAGGAGCATCCGAATCGGATGCCCTTCGGGCCTCCGTTCGACTATCCTCTGTTTTCGTACGTACGAACTCACCTCCGTTCGACCATCCAAAAAGGAGGTACCTGGACCCTATGGCCCTATGGGATATTGACTTTATTTGTCTATACCTATTGACAAGACCACTGACAAGTAAGACCCTATGGCCATAGTTTGTCATATAGGTAAGCCGACCATGGAATTGACAAGACCCTGTTGGACCCTATGGGCCCTATGGCATTTTGCAGGCCACCTGGGAGGCACACTGCCTTTTGCATCGATTGCATCCTCGTGCGCAATCGAACAGACCCAATGAGCGGCTTGGCTATTTCAGGTAGCTCTACCTCAACCAGAATCACCGGCAAAAGCCTGGAGAATCGTCTTACTTGCAAGCTTTGCTGGCAACATCGGACAAATCTATACAGCTCCCCCCACCAAATCCGACGATATGTCATGAGCGATGTGACGATGTCTGGCAAGGCACCACATCAATGTGGTCATGAATCTCCTGCCGTTGAAAAACAAAGGCGAAGGACGACCCGACTCCTGAGAGATCCCGTTGGTGCGGGTTCGGGACGCCACGTTGGTGCTTGCTGCGTCTCATGTCGCACTGGGGTTCAGGAGCCACATACATGTTCAACGGGCCCTGTGCTGGTATATGCAGGCATAGAAGGATGCCGGTATATGCTGGTGGCTCCTGCATCGCAAGTCCCATCAGATTCTTTCGCTGCACGGCTCGCGAACAAGTCGATGAAATCCAGCGGGCATTGGTTTTGGAGTTTTGGAAGAGGACATGTTCAAAAAGCCAAGGCTACCGGCTACCGTCATCCAAGCAATAACGGAAACCATGTCATGTCAATGCCTGACTGAGATCACAGGACATTTTGCTTATGTTGTGATACTAGCAACCACCACGACGGCATAGCAAAGCCGTCACCCAGAACACCGATCACTAACATCATACTATATATACCTGTATGCCTATAGACAAACTTCTTCCTCGTTCACCATGTTCAAACGAACCGTGCTCCGACGGCATTTGCGCAGACTCTGTGGATACTGAATTGACCGCCGTCCAATGTCTCTTGATTCTCCACGCCGGCGCGGGTCCCCTGGAGCGAAGAATCACATCAACATGCCCCCCATTCCATTCCGCTCATAGCCCGCAATGCGTGCGGGACCACGACTCAAGGATCCCATGAGTGCCACTACCCCGAACGGGTCGAATCAGCATGGGTCCCTACTAATCGGGCTCCAGGCCTCCCCATGTCTCACTCACTGGGCCCCTGGCATGGGATTTGCTGGCGCTCCCTCGCCTTGCCCTCGAAGTGGTACACCACAGAAGGTCCACTGTTGAGGCCATGATAAGCTCCAGTGAGTCGGAGACCCGTCACCCTCAGAAACCGGTGACCCACTAGGGAAGGAAGCTGTTCTGCCTCACTCAGGAAGGAACCGAGTCCCTTTGTGGAACAGCATGTTTCAATGCAGGAGGACTGCTGAGAAATCACATTGGCAATGCCTAACTTCAGTCCAGCACCTTTGGGAAACTAAAATTCTCAAGTTCTGAAAGGAAACAACTCAACTCGCGGGAGGCATTACAAGACAAGAAAGACTTGCCTGCCGGACAAACAGAAACCCATGAAACCTGGTGTGATCAACCTTAGAGCTAGATAAGACCGAAAATTCAAAAGCATGGAAAAAAACAAAATGACCCTCTAGGACTATACCAGAAAAGGGACTTCTGGAGTTTCCCATTCTCTCGATTGACATCACTGAAATCATGGATGCTAAGGTTCTGGGTTATCGCGGTTTCAAATTGCAGGCTGCAGGCTGGTCACACTCATGGACGGATCTTCGACATATAACTGCTTGAGCCACCTGATTTCTGGAACAAAAAACGCCAACCCTAGGCCTTTGGGCACATAGAACAGAAGGGATTAGCACCAGGTTCTCAACCAAAGAATCGCCAAACACCAAGGTTCCCAAGACACCAACACCAAGCCTCCCATCCAATTGAATCCCAATCAAAGGTTCCATTGCACTAACACAGAAAATGTGTGCTGTTTGTTTGTTGAATATGGATGGGTCCCGGTCCATATAAAGCATTAACCTCGGGGATTGTGCCAACCTACTCTGAAACCACTGTAGCCAAATCCACATCAGCATGTTCAAGCTCACACTCACATCATCTAGACCCAGGCAGTTTCAGCCTCATCTCAACAACCAGACCGTTCCGAATCTAAATATGTCACGCCCAGAATCCCTGACCATGCGGATTTCACATACTGGTCCGGATCAGAAGAAGGCCTGGGAGGCAGCTCCATGGCAAATGTTTCATAAACAACACACCTTCTTCCAGTTCTGATTTAATTAGTTAGTAGGGAAATCTGCCACGTGTTGGAACACCCTTGAAGAACATGACAAGTTAAGAGGGTTCACTACTCGCTGTAGTTGCTACGAGGGAAGCAAATCAAGGTTGAGGAATGTTAATAACCGAAAAGCGCCTTCCAACTTCCAACAACTCCTGGGCCAACAAGCAACTTCCTACCAGTCTGAGTGAAATACTTTGCACACTTTAGGGAAAGGAAATGGTCTAGAGGCAACTGGTCAAACATGGCATTCAACCACACCCCGATGTCACTTAGACAAAGCTGCAACGGCAAAAAGACATCAAACGTGAAAACAATCGAAAACCATTGAGAAAACGTCTCCAAACATACACATTTGAATGATATGTGATATGTTCCAACCCATTTGGGGGATGTGCATGGTTGTTTTTGTCTGATTCACTAAGACTAAGGGTTATCTGCATTTGGACACATCTGTGAGACTTAAATGGATGAAAGGCTACAAGACCTTGGATAGTTCATGTGTGCCGAACTGCTCGGAAAGCCAACTCACTACACTGCTGTTGCGATGCCCCACACTTAAATATCATCTGCAAACTCCTCTGTGGCCGAATTTCTGGAGTCGAAACCCAGCTAGTGCAGCATGAGGCTCGGCGAGTAGTAAATGTACATGGCCACCGCATTAAAGTAGCAAAACCCGTCCACGCCCGGGTGCTCTGCCATCACATCCTCTGATACAAAACCGGGTGGGCATGACATTCTGCTCACCTACTTCAAAGGCCCCAGTGGTGGTGGTTCAGCACCGCACCCATGAACCCATTCTCAGTTGCAGTACCTGGGAGGTACAGAGTATGACGGGATACCTTTCAGCACCCGACGGACAAGTGCCCGGAAAGGCGCCCCCCCTCGATTGCATGATTCATGCGAGTCTTCACTGGTTGTTCACCTCGTGTAGGTCGAAACGTGCTATATATTATAGACTATTTCAACATCTAAGAGGGCCATGACTCCAAAAAAACAACATCACAACATATCAAAACATTGCACCTCACGATCTTTTTCGGGTGTCATGAACCTTTACGGGGCCTCAAAACCTGGAGACGAACCCTGAAACGGGCGGCGTTCCGACCAACACCCAGGCAGGTCCGCAATGAGTCCGGCGCCAGTTTGGTTGACCGAACAACGAACGGAATCGGCTCATGACATGGTGAAGCTGCCGCAAAGCTGGCGAGCTTGGAGGCTTGGCGCTGACTCACGGCCGGGCGGGGCGGGGTGTGTGGTTGGTGTGTGACTGTGACACAGCCAAGCATCGGGGATGGGACGGTGACAGTCATTGCCGTGGATGTGGTACCTGAGTTTTTCAGGGTGAGACATGAACAAACAACTGCTTACATAACCAATCAAAAACTGGTGGTAGCAGTAGGAGTAGGAGTAGGAGTAGGAGGAGGAGGAGTAGTAGTAGTAGGAAGTAGGAGTAGCAGTGGTAGTGGTGGTGGCAGTGGTAGTGGTAGCAGCAGTGGTAGTGGCAGTCGCCGTGGTGGTGGTACTGGTACAAAATTTTACTTACATATCAGATTTCGTTACTAAGGGACATAAGGAGCAGGGCACCAAAGGATCAGGGAGGACCAGTGGCCCAGCTGATTAGGTGGTGAGTGGACAATTTTTCTCATTGATTGGATAAGCATGTGCATTTATTGCTTGAATATATTGTTCGATTGGAGACAGAAATATCGTTTGTTTTTTAATCCCTATGTGCAAAATAATCAGCCCGGTTTCGCCACAGACCGTGCTGTTCCTTTGGGGTTCCTCACGGGACATGAGCTTGATTCGGATGCAAATTGCCTTGCACATGGGTCCAGTAGGTGGTCCGATCGGCTGGTTCAATTGACTTATATAGTTCCAACCGCGCACGTTGCATCATTTCCTCTTACTTTCTACCAAGTTCTGGTGATTTTTCTGAATTGCGATGATTTCTGCAAGTTGGCCGATCGAACCCGTTTCGTGAGCCCAGAGGTCAGGCATGACGCCTCAAGCAAAATACCTTATGATTCATCCCTTGAAAAAAATACTGTAAGTATATGATTCAATTGTCCCACCCACTGTTGAAAACATTTGGCAGCCTTGGAATATTGCACTATCACTACTTGCTTGCAAGTGTCTTGGCAACCATGTGGATGCACTCCACTTAAATAATCTGTATTTTTTAATAACATGTTAAGTAGAGTTAACCAAATTATCATAGAATTATTAAATAACTATAACTAGTTAGGCAGAGTTAACAAGTTACTTTTTAAAGGTCATATGGTAAAGAAAATAAGCTTTGAACATAATTAAGTAATTATAGTAACCAGCTGCTTGATTTTAGCTGGCGGCTCTGATTTACATCGAATGAAATCACATGGTGTTGAAAAATGTTTCTTTTGATGGAAATGCCACATGGCAAGCCTTTTAATTGTTCATATCAAAATGTTCCAATTAACTATACCAACCCATCCTACATGAACACTTTGCTGGGTTTGATAAAATGCCAAGCCAGGCGACTATTGCATTGCCACTTTTCATGCATTCACTGGCTTGATGAAATGCCATAGAGCCAATTTTGGTGCTTCTTAGAAAGACAAAACCAGCAAGCGCATGGACTGGATCCTTTTCTTCAGCATTTGGGAATAGATTGGGTAAGGCAGAAGCACTTTGGCTGTGCCTGTGCTTTTGTGGCAAATCACAGGCGCAATGATGTCTGCTGTAGGTACAAATCCCAAGTTGCGGTCCAGCACTTCGCAAATTGCACATTGCTTATGTGGTAGCCATTCTTTGACCAGCCAAGAGTTCACCAAGGTAGTGGCAACATCATGCAATAGGAAATGCAATTGGATTTCTGCAATCCCCATGGACTCACCTGCCTGGTATATGACAATGTCATCCTTGAAGCAGCTCATTTGGTTCACTTTGGCACACTGGCTGCTCTTGGCCTCTCCAATTGGCTCACCAATCAAATTGGATAAAGTTTGTAAACTTTTCTTGGAAGCTGAGATGGGGTCGACCAAATGCACACCATCTTTGAACAACTGTGGCTGGTCCAAGTGGCAGATCTCCTTGGCAAGAGCTTGCTCCAAGAGATTGGTTTCAAAATTCTTGTTTAGCAATCTAGTGGCCAGTTGGCTTGTGCTTTCTTTCATTGGCAAAGCATGATGGGAGGAAGCCAAATCTTTGCTGTGTATCTGGCATATGGAGCAGCCAATGCCATTTCTTTATCAATGACACTTCTGGGAAGGCAGTCTGGAAGCACTGTATGGCCAGCTCTATGGCTGGCAATAAAGTGCCTTTGCTGATGATGCCAGCAAGGTTTCCATCATGGACCTGGTCAATGAGAGATGCCATTGCCAGCAAAGCCTGGCAAGCTGGAGCTTGGAGGCCATTGGGCAATGCCACATTGTAAACAAACTGACGCACAATTGGGTATATGACTAAACACTCTGAAGATTGGACTGAAATCTTTTGATTGTTTTTGTGGCTTGTCATCTTCTTCTTGGAGAAATATGTTCCAACATGCTGGCACTTCCAAGCTCTTGGGAAAACCCAAAATTGGAAGTAAGCCTCCAAGCCAGACCATACTTGGAAACCTTCTTCCATGGCACACAGCCACTGGTATAACACAATGGGCGCTACCCCTGCAGTATGCCATGCATGTAGTCATGTGCAAATTGGCTGCATGGCCTCAATTGGCCCATGGATTTCAAGTCTTGGTCGAGAAGTAGAGCCTTGGAGCTGCGGTTCCAACCTGTGGCCTGCTGCCACATGTCACACTCTGCTTTGGTACACTGGGTCTTTTTGGCATCCAATTTGGCATATGACTGGAGAACCTCTGCATCACTGGTCAGCACCAATTGGCTGTACTTGGTGATGTTGCAGTGCATCTGGTCCTCTGTGGTGCCACTGGCTCGAACATTGGCACACAAGAAGCAGAACTTCTGGCCACTGTCGCCTTTGCTGCTCCAGACTTGCTTCTGGGCTGCACCATCAGCTAGCAGCATGGAGAAGGTGAAGTGGAGCCTCATATCTTGGCCTTCTGGGACTTTCAACAAAAAGCCAGTGGGTGGATGAATCAGCTCATGGCAAAAAATGCTTCTAAGCAGAGCAGTGGTGATTTGGCCAACACCAGCTTCCACAGCTGATGCATTGCTTGATCTGACCAAAGCTATGGTGAGCCAGCTGTCTGTGGAATGGATGTGCTGGCCAAATTGTAGGAAACTGGCATACCATGCCCAGCTCTTCCTCTCTGCCCTGCCCAACACATTTCCAGGGAACAACTCGTCCAAGTATACAACTAAAGACCATGGTTTGCTGGTCGAAGATGGGTGTTGATTGCGCTTGCTGGCCAAGAGCTGGTGGAAGCTACCACCTCTGAAGAACAAGGCTTGCAAGTATGTCAAGAAGTTGGTGGCAGGCAAAGTGATTGGCTCAACTTCACTGTTCTGGACACTGATCTCTTGGATCACAGGACCCATGGCACCTCCATCACACTGGTTCAAAAGGAACCTTCTGGCATCTCTTTGCTCTTTTGGAGAGCTGCAATCAGGTAAGCCGGTCTTCTTGGCTTCTGCAATCATAGCATGCAAGCTGGTTTGGCTGTGGTGTGGCAAATTGGCCTTGAACTGTTGGAGTTTGGCCAGCTTCTGAGGCCTGGAAGAGGAAGCAGCCATGGTTACAAAGGAGCAAACAAAAGGGTGTGAAAGTAAGGGTGTTGTCCTTCTATCAGTTACAAGGGTGCTGTCCCTCTTGCAAGAAGACTGGTTGACCATGTAAATATACATATACCTTGCACATGCTTGCACATTGCATATACTAGAATTTGTGCTGAAGGATGCACACTGTGGAAATTGGCAAGAGCCAAACACAAAAGGTTGCTACAATGCACAAAGCCAAAAGCATTGATGGAATGCCATTTTGGACATACTATGATGTAATGCCAGAAATGAGCATGATGTAATGCCAGAAAGGCCAGTGCACACAAACATTTGTTGTTGGTCTGTGTACATGGTGCACTTAAAACTGTGTATGAGCAAAAAGCTTTGTGCGCACATCAGCTGCCTTTTGGTACCATGGAGCAGTGTCATTGCTACACAGCCAAGCACCTTTGTGAACCCCTTGGCAAATGTCTTTGCAACCCTTTGCGCAAAAGGCTTGGTGAGTGCATGCCATAGTAATGTGGCATCACCCCTGTGCCTTCCTGGCCTGTTCCCATTGGCACCATTGCTGCCTGCTTGAAAATCTCAAACCATTATAGGATGGCTGGAGGCATTGGGAACAACCTTTGATGTTCGCTCTGCATCTCAGACAGCCAAATGGCCCTTTAGTTGGTGGCTTGCCATAGTACCCATACTTGGGCTTACTGCATTGATGGGGCTTGGTCAGCTTCTGCTGAGACTTGGCAAGCCTTCGGCAGCAGCTTTTGCCTTGGCCTTAGCCAGTGAAGTGAAAGCTTCTTTCTCAAATTGGTCGAGCTGTGAAGCTTCTTTCTGACTGTCCTGGCCAAACAACAAACTATACAAGTGTTGGGCATGCAATATTTCATTGAATATAAATCCAAGGTTTGTTTTGGATGATGGAAACTCACACACAAGCCCAGCCTCCTGGTGCACAGTGTTTGCATCCCCAGCATCCAGGCAATTCAGCTGGCATTGGCTTTTTTGGTGGCAAGTCCAACTGGCTAGGACCAGCAGTAGGAGAGGAAGCAGTGTCAATGAAATGGTTTGATTGTGGCACAAACTTGGCCAGCAACTGGTTGGGCGCATTACCCTGGCTCATTCTGTGGTTGACGGCCGGTTTGGCCTGTGGTCCCTGCCTGGGCCTCTTCCAACTGTTTGTTGGTAGCCCTGCAAATCACCTGAGGTGCAGCACAGTTGGAAGGCTTGTGTAAAAATGTGTAAATGGCATGCACATGGATGCACCAGGTTTTTGTTTCTAAATGCAATCCAGGTACAATGGATGCCCAACCATGAGGAATGTTGATCAGGGCAGGTGCATCATGCTTGTAGACTTTGGACAACCATTCCTCACCCAACTCATGTGGATTTGCTGGGTACATGGGCAGCCCTCGTAGGTGTGGAATGAAAAATAGTAGCAAGTTCTTTCAAAAGTGACTTCCTGGCTGTAGCAATTGGCTGTGGCTTGCCACCCTTGTGCACCAAGCAATAGAAGATAATGGCATAGCTTGGATTTTGGTTTGCTCCTTGAGGGACACCAACCCCATGGATCTCAACCTGCTTGCAACAATGGCCATGGTGTGGACAGTGTTTGCTGGTGACTCTTCCAATTTGGACCAGTCTTCTTTGGAAAGGTATGGGCTGAAAC